ACGACACAGATATCAGGGGTTCCTCCCCAGACAGGGATGGGGCTCCGTGGTGGGAGAGGACCCAGGCACCCCCCTGAGGTGGCCATGCAGCCCATCGCCCCCTCGGCGGGCACCGCTCTGCTCGCTCCACTCACACCCAGCCTTGAAAGAAAAAGCTCTGGACCTTCTCCGCTCCCGAACAGCAGATCGAGTCCTTCCCCTCAGACCTTGATGTGAAGGAGCTCGAGGAACAGCTTTATCTTAAGTCGGTTTCAAGCAAACTACAGCTCGCCTTGGGATCTTCGCCAGCGCCACCAGCCACAGGCAGGAGGCTGGCACCGACCCCCTGGCGCAAGGAGAGGTGGAGCAGGGCCCTGGGGAGACTGAAAAGCCTCTGCCACCTTCATGGCAGAGCTGACACCCCCCCCCGCTGAAGGTCCAGATCGATTTGGGGGGGGGGGCTTTGTGCAGCTACAGCTGACACTAAGCACGTCAGGGTGACCCCGCTGGTGTCCCCCCATCCAACACCCCAGATCACGGTTCCTCCATCATTTCAGCTGATGGAGAGACCCCAAACCTTGCTGCTGGCCTCAGTCTGGGGAGGGCTGCCCCCCCCTCGCCCCATACACCAGGTTCAAGTAACAACAGAAGCACCAGCAGGCTGCTGGGAGAAATCCTCCCAAGAACAGTGACAGCCCAATACACATAATTCAAGTATTATCCCTAAAGTCTGGCTGCTTCCTCAACAGCTCCGAATGCCACAGAGCCTCCCCGCCCACCCTGAGGGAGCTTGGGGGGGACACGGGAAGGGGACACACGGGGGATGGGGCGGTACAGGACAGCTCTCCCGACCCACCGCAGAGCAGGGTTGTGCGTTTTCACCCCAGGCAGGCCCAGCGTGGGCAGGATGGACTCCGCACTGATTCCCAGTGCCCAGCCAGCACCAGTCTGCCCTGGTCTGCTTTCCAGGTCAGCTGCTTTCTCTTCCCAACCCAGCCTGTGCCTCTCCCCCCCAGATCAGGGAAGGAAGGAGTGGAAATACCGTCACTCCCAACACACGAGGGAGACGACCAGCTTCAGCAAGGGGAGACTCACAGCTCCCCCATTCCACTTGTCCCACAGGCCCCCACCCGTCCACACGCACCGGCCCACGCCATCGTATCCACACCTCTGCGTCCTTTGGGTTTTGTTTTTTTTTTTTGGGAGAGGACTTTGGCAGGAGACACACGCACCGGCCCCTCTTCGCTGGCACAGGTTTGGACACCTCAGCAGTCAGACCACGTCGGCTCTCAGGAAGGTTTTCCTTTCCAGTATGGGCTAAGTCAGGAGATTCAAATCTCCCGCACGTGGAGAGCCGAGGTGCAGCAGGGCCAGGTGCGTGGATATTCGAGTTTCACCTGCACGAGAACAGATGGTTCCCCCCCTCCCCAACCCGACGTGCTGTGCGCTTTAGTCGAAGCGGTTGCATTTATCTGCAGGTTCCACTGATAACGTGGGTGGGAGCTGCAGGTCTTGAGCGGAGGCTGGGGAGGGCCCGGTGCTGGTCCCCACGCGGAGGGGACACGGTGGCCGTAGAGCAGGTCAGCTCCGGTGTCACCCAGGGTCAGGATATGCTGCTCAGCACGTCTTGGGGCAGCTCCCCCTCCCTGATAACCACTGCCCCGACAACGCAACACCGAGTCAGTAGCGAGGAGTGTCCGATGAGGTATTTGTACAGATTCTGAAGCTTAGTTATTAGTTTCATTTGGAAGCCAAATCCTTTTTTAAAAGCGTATTTTTTTTTTCTCCAAGACCAAAACAGGGCAGAGATGACGGTGAAGAGAGGGAGGGAGGGCAGGATTTGTTAGCACCCTTCATAGCAGCGCTTGGGCAGAGGCAGACAATCAGATTTTTTTCCAGGCTGCTTGAAGATCCACACAAGTGTGTCTAACTCAAGGACACGGGTCATTCTGCAGGGCAAGACCAAGGTCCCAGCAGCTCCTGAGTGACTGCAGCCACCTCACAGGGCACCGACCTCACCCACAACGTCGCCTTTCCAGACCGCGCTGCTGCAGGATGGAGAGTTTCCTTCACTCGGGTTGGGAGCACTGGAACACTTGCTCGTTTAAATACGGGAGGAAAGATGCTTCTCTAGACGTCTCAGCATCACTTCAGGCAAACTTTAAACTTCACCGTGAAATGCAAACTCTGGGCAGTGGCTGCCAGACCAGGATGTGAAGGGGTAGGGGGGTGGTATTTCAGCCAGTGCCGAGCCCAGAAACAAAGCAAGAGCCACCACTTCTCTTGGCTTCCCTGGTTCTGTGGTTCTGTGGACATCCCAGGCAGAGGAGGAAGCAGCAAGTTCACAGAGATCAGATGCCCTTCCAGGAGAACCCTCAGTTATCCGCTTCTTGCTCCGAGTCACCTCGGAGACGCCTCTTAATGCCCCAGCAAGTCCTGATCAAGATCCTTCACAGCTCAGCAGAAAGTCACATCGTTCACAGCTTCTGGAGGCAGCCAGAGAAAGGCTGAAAGTGCACGTCCCGCAGCTCTGTGCAAGACTGGGATCACTGTAGCAAGTACCTTTGGTCCATGGACTGCTGCAACAGTGACAGCCACAGCTTTGCCACCTTCCTTCTGCTTATCCCAGGGGTTCAGCAAAATCTTCCAGTGTTTGCTCAGGGAACGTCTCCTCAGAGGAGCCGCCCTTGCTCCCCAGGGCAGCAGCAACCCTTTGGCAGAAGGCTCCAACAACATCCAAATGGCTCACAGGCTCTTCCTTCCTTAGGCCCAGCTTAAAAGCATATAGGATCACCCTGCAACTCCAGCTGCCCAAGAGTCTGTTTGGCCCTCTTCTCCCAAATCCTGGGAAGCAGGGGAGCTGGGCACCTGCCTACTGCTCGGAGCTTCACGCTCCCCAGAGGTTATTCCACGTAGCTGCACATCATCATTCTGGCTCAGTCTGCCTCCAAGCAGCTCTCTGGCTGCATCCCCTCTGGGTGAGGAGCAAAGAACAGTCTTGCCATTAACGCCCGGAGCAGGTGATCTTCCTAGAGAGTCCCCTTCTCTCTCTTATCTCTCCCCACCTTGAAGTTTCCAAGGGAGGATAATAAAATTCAGCTGATCATAAGACAGTATTTCTCATGCTGAAAATAATAATAATAATAAAAAAAAAGACATCAAAAATAAAACTTTCAAAAAACTGTAAATAGTGCCGTGACATTCTTTGTTCTGCAAGGAGTCCGCGAGCGGGGCTCAGCTGTCTCCGAGACCCCCCCCCCCTCAGGCCAGGAGCTGAGGCTCTCGTTCCCGTTCCGCTGTGCTTCTTAGGAGTCTTGAACCCTCTTCTCTGTACAAAAGAGCTTGAGAGCAGAAGCGGCACCGCAGAAGCAGGCTCCACCATCGCGTGCCTCCTTCCCACCACAGCCTGACTCGGGCTACAGGATGGCAACAATCAAATTCCTAGTGGGGAAGAGAGAGAGGGGAGAGGGATCAAACAGCCCACTTGATGCAGCAGGATCTGCCCCAGACTGCGGCTGGTTTGGCACCAGAGCGAGCACAGGCTTGCGTGGGCAGAAATATGCACAAGAAAATAGCAGAAGCTTCATTCCCCTCCCCAAGGAAAGCCGGGCAACGGTCAAAGCCCAGGGAGTGAACGGCCACGACTTCTTCGGGAGGGTTTTGTGTTTTCTTTGCAATCAGAGGGAAGAGAGTGACTGATGTTTGACCCCACGGGCCGGGGCAGGGGCTGGTGGCACACACGTACCATCAGTGACAGCAACAAGACGGGTGAGGCAGCCTCGCTACGTGGAGGATTCAGTCTCCTGCTTCTGTTTGGAGATGAGCTGAGCTTCCTTCAGCGACAGATACACCTCCTCCTGCGGGTCGTAGTAGTAGAACTTGCGGATGTAGGAGATCAGGGGCCTGGGGAAGGAATGGGCAGAAGCTTTAACCCCGAGCCGCCACCACGTCGATGTCTGCAAAGCAGAACCAGAACCTCCTCGCCCAGTCCAGCCACCTCCAGCAGAAAGAGAAGCCAGCACCCCAAGGTGGTGGCACCCACAGGTAGCACCCCACTCCTGCACCCCTCAGGACACTGTCCCAAGGCTGAAGTTATCAACCACTCCCTCCCACAGCCCCTGCTGCAGATCCAGACGCCTTCTCACTGCCTGGTGCAGCGAGGAAACCCGAGAGACTCGTCCCCAGGAGGGTCCCCGAGCCTTACTTGGGCAGCGGGAGGTCGGGGATATGGTCTATTCGGACCAACTGCCTGATGCGGAAGCGGCAAAGGTGCTGAAGGGATTTGACGTTGCTGAACCTGGAGACTGGATACAGGAGCTGGACAGGCGTTGGAGGGAGACCTTTGGAAAAAAGCAAAATTGGAGATAAGTGGTGTGTTAGAAAGGAAACGCTGCTGGTTCAGAAAGGAGAAGGTGGCTCTGGGGAAGCAGAGCTCTCTGCAAGGCTGCGTTCATCACGTATCTTGGCTGCACCTCTTTAAGTGGGTTCAGTTTTGGGCCCCTCACCCCAAAAAGGCCATTGAACGGCTCGAGCGTGGCCAGAGAAGGGCAACGGAGCTGGGGCAGGGTCTGGAGCACAGGTCTGCTGGGGAGCGGCTGGGGGAACTGGGGGGTTCAGTCTGGAGAAGAGGAGGCTGAGGGGAGACCTCCTGGCCCTCGGCAACTCCCTGCCAGGAGGGGGCAGAGAGGGGGGATGAGTCTCTGGAGCCAAGGCCCCAGCGCCAGGCCCCGAGAGAATGGCCTCAAGCTGCCCAGGGCAGGGTCAGGCTGGCTCTGAGGAAGGATTTCTGTGCAGAAGGAGCTGTTGGGCCTTGGAATGGGCTGCCCAGGGCAGGGGGGAGTCCCCGGGACCCCTGGGGGGGTTGAAGAGTCGGGCTGAGCCAGCGCTGAGGGATCTGGGGGAGTTGGGAAGGGTCAGGGGGAGGGTCATGGTTGGACTGGAGGAGCTTCAGGGGCTTTTCCAGCCGAGGTGATTCTGGGATTCTGTGGTATCTGCCCAGGAGCCCACCACTTGGGAGTGGGGAGCCAAACCTTCCAGGGGTGATACCCCTTTGGCTGCAGAATATCTCCAGCCTTCCTCACACAGCAGCAACAGTTCTCATGTCACAGGGTGGCTGTGGAAAAGCAGATCCCGAGACCCTGCGAGCTCCTCACCACCCCCCCTCTCCCTGACTGGCATCACTCGATAGAGAGAAGCAACAGGCTTCTGAGAGGATGTGGGAAAAAGCCGAAGGAGAAGGCGGGCAGCATGACCAGCACGTAGGCTTTTGCTCTGCACAACCTCTGGGTAGTTCTATCGAAGCGTTAAGAAAAAGCTGGAGGATTTGGTCAGCTCAAGCTGCACCGGAGTTGCTCATTCTTGGGGTCACGAGGCTGGGCACAAAGGCAGAGGCAGCGGCGGCTTCGCGCCAGCCCGCTCCCCACGCAGGGAGCAACCTCGCAGGGCTGAAAGCAAGTTGCATCCAGCCATCCCCCACCCCGCCACCTCCTCCTCCCCCAAAGTTAAGAGCAACAATCGAGCCCACAGAACTGCAGGAACACCAGGAAGGATCTTTGGGAGCTGGGCTCCTTCACAGCACAAGGTTTTATCTGTCTTTACAGAAGGATTCAAAGCTAGTTACACTCTAACCCCCTCCTGCTGGCTTGTCTCTGAGGGCAGTGGAGTGAAAGGAGAAAAGGGAAAGCTCTTCACACTAAGATGGGCTCAAAACTGCTCCAGGCAGCTCAGGAAGCTGCGAGCCAGCTTTTGAGAAAGCAAAGAACAGCAATCAATTGAAGGCTGGATTCTCCCCCCCTCCCACCATCCTTATCCTCCTACCAAAAAGGAATTAGCCTCTGGGAGCTCAGCCAGCCACTACGGGGACACAGCCCGGGCTCGGCAGGCTGCACCAGCCCCACGCCTCGCTGCCAGGAGCCAGATGCGAGCTGCAAGCAGCCCCCTCCTCGGAGCAGCAGTTAAGGTTTCAGCAGGAGAACAAGCACTAACGAGCACACTGGGGAGATGCAGATCCTCAACGTTCTCCCGCTAAAGATCAGGCACCAGCACGAGACTTTTTGTTTTTTGGTTGGGTTGTGTTTTTTTTTCCCCAAGCATCAAGGCGCAGCAGCTCCGAGCAGCGCCCAGGCCCAACGCTGCACCCGGAGGGACACAGGACCCCGAGCCAGCAGCACGGGAGCAAAGGGCTCCTCAACAGGTGCACAGCGCTCTTTGGGGAGGCTATTTTCTTTTTGGATGATATTTTTGTAAACCAAGTCCTTTCCAAGGTATCTGGATGACATTTTCCTAGAGCAAGTCCTTTCTAAGGTATTTACCTGGAGTCCTAAGCCCTCAAAGCCCTGTTCTTGAAGGGCTCTCAGGATCAGGAAGGTGAAGTATCTTTAATTTGAAAGGATTTCTTTGAAAATAGGGTACACTGCAGAAAAACAGCTTTGCATCCCTCTTCTCCCCAGTTCCTTATAAATCAGCTTTCCAGTTATTGGTGGTGTTTGCAGCAGAGGGCAACACTGAACAGATCTGGGCTGCGACTCGGAGCCCTGAAGAGGGAACAGCCCATCCCTCCTCCCCTCCAGCCTCTCCTAGACCAGGAAATCTTTGGGCTGAGTTCTCTCCATGCTGCAGTGCCACAGAGAGGTCGCTGTCACCATCAGGGCCTGCAGGCCCGATGGCAACATGGATAAGGAGCAAGTTTACTATCATTTCACTTGTAGATTTACCACAATTCCTCCCGCTCTTCTCACTCCTGCCCCTCTCTGCTTCACTGCTGCCCCTCGTCTCACCACGTTCCCATTCCTGCTCTATTTTCTTCAAAGCATCACCACTCACCCTCCAAATTCTGTCCCCCACTGTTGCTCTCTCAAAATTACGAGGCATATTTGCCTATTTGGCAGACCCTTCCCTTCTTCTCCCAATGGCTTTTTTGGCTTGTCTTCTGGTACACCAGGACAAGCAAAAAAACAGAAAAAAAAATAAAGATACTGGTCCGGTTGCCTGCCCAGATTTAACAGGAGGGAGGTTTAAGGTTTGATAGATGGGGAAACAAGCACTCTGCAGTCAAACGTGCTTCAGCAAAGCTGCACTAACACTCCCTCCTTGCTTGCAAGCACCTGCCTGTTGATGGGCTCTGGCATCACGGTCCCCCCAGGGACTCTGAATCTACAATATCTACCGCTCAAGGCTCACGTTGAGCTCACACTTGGAAACGTTCCCACACACTCAGCTGAACGTCTCTCCCCTCGACAGCCCCAGGTGGGTCTCAGCTAAGGGAGAGCTGGGAAACTACAAAGCATGGAGTGGTTTGTAAGAACAGCGGTACTGAGACTGGGGGAGGGAAGAAAGCAGAGTTTTAGTAGGCAAATAATTGCTCGTTGAGGGAGCAGCTTTCCAGTCTCCAGGTCTGTTTGTCATTGTGAGATGGTATCACGTTTCCACCGTCCTGGAAAGAAAAGGTTTGGGAAGTCTCCTTCCCACCAGGATCAAATGGTGCGGCTACTGAGTGGGAGATCTGCTCCTCAGGGCCCTTCTGAGAAGTCGGCAGGCAAGGATGCAGACCAGGGCACTGAGCACAGCAGACCAAAGCCACGATAGACCGGCCCTCTAGGACAGACCAGCAGCTAATCACAGAGCAAAACATCCCCAGACTCCGAGCAGGAGACTCACCTGGAACCCTGGATCGGAGGAAGTAAAGAAACTTCCCGTTTTTGGAGTGCATGATTGCTCTCTTTATGAACTCCACCACAGACTGGCAGCGGTCTTCAAACTTGGGATGGCACCACAGGCTGAAGGTCCCTTCCAACAGAACAGAAAAGGATTCACGTTTTAGCAGCGCTGGTGGCAAGAGGAGACGTTTAGTTGCAAGTCTGATGTTCTCCAAAACCAGGTGAATGTCCCAGGCTGGCTATTTCTCACAGAGCTGGGATAAGGCAGGGCACTAAGAGGAAACACCAGTGCCACCAGCTTGCAGGGACGCTGTTCCACTGGAACCAAGAGCTGAGGATACGCAGAAAGAAGTGCCAACGTGACCACAAGTCACACTTGCCTGAACTTGTAAACAGCCTGCAAACGATTGTTGGGTCTTAAATTTAAACCAGCAAAACACACTTTAAGGGACCATTAGCAGAGGGCCCTGCTCCTCCACAGCATCCCAGCAGCAGCGCCCCCAAAGCCAGCGCATCGGAGCAGGTGAGGTCACACACCGGTACATAAAAACAGCGACCCAGGTGCTCAAGGCTCCTTCTGCCAGCCCGAGGGCTGTCAAGGATCACTTATTTCACAGCAAGCATTGGAGCAGCTGTTTCCAACAGCTTAATTCAAATTAGCCGTCCCCGTGCTGCCACCTGACACGACGGACGCACCGAGCTCAAGCGGCAAAAACACTGAAACTGGAGCTGGGCAGCCCAGGGAAAGCAGGCCTGCTAACCTGTTTACAGATCTCTAACTAGGTTAAGTTTAAGCCTCAGGTCAGACCAGACTCACGATCTCTTCGGCTGCAGCCAGACACCCCCTTCTTGCACCAAAACGCTGCCGTTTATCCCCCCCTTAACCTGCCAAAACGCTGCCTACATCCCCCTCCACACACCCCTGTACCTCCCTTTCGACCTGCAGATTTGTCAGCGCCCCAGCAAGAGCCATCACAGAGCAGAGCTTCACCAGGCAGAGGAAAATGGGAAAACAAGGGCCCTGTTCAGGACGGAGTCCACCAGGAGCCGATCCGCACGCCTGCAGTGGGGCAGATTCCCACGGGAGGTGGGTGACACCGTGCTGTAACCAGCAAGGACTCTGAAAACACCCCACATCCACGTAAAGAACTTGTGTTAAGGAGAAAGCGTAGCCAAATCAGAGGTGCCCAGGACATATTTCAGGTCAGGGACTTTTTGGAGGAGCAGTTTCCCCAGCAGCATCACCAACCTGTTAGGGGAAAAACCAGAGGAAGCAGCTCGGTAGGATGCCCAGCACTCACAGCTTTCTCTAGGGTGGAGAGCAACCAGCAACACAGGGGCTAGATACAGCCCACAAAATTTAAACCACACCTCCTCTCCCCACAGCCACATCTGGTAGGCTTTGCTGGGAAAAGGTCCCTCTCACCTCTGCTAAACATCCAGGGTCAGCAAGCACAAAAATAAGTAATTCTTGGGAATCTCAGATCTGAATGAGCCCTTAAGAGTAGCCAGTAGATGCAAAGGACAAAAGCACAAACACCACCCTCCCCAGCCTGCCTACTCAGCTCGCCTAAAAAAAGACAAAGAAATTGTGGTTTCTTCCTCTCATCTACCCGAAACCTGAAGGTCAAGCATTTATCTCTTTACCATTCCCCCAGCCTCACCATTTGTCATCTTCATTGGTTTATCAAAGTGCTCTGCTCTGCAGATTTCCACGCTGCCACAGCACATTCAGCGCAAGTCCTGGGGGGGGGTGTGTGTGGCAGGAGGGAGATGGGGGGAGCACAGGGCTGCTGACCCAGACCCAAGTGCTGCACCCCCAAAACTGAACTCCCTGATGCGGTGCCACGGCTGGGAGCGCTGCTCGAGGGAAGGTGGCAGCACCAACCTTCATCTGTGCAGCGAGGAGGACAGCTTGAGGACAGGGAAGGACACCAGCTAAGGATATAACCCAGCCCAAATAAGAAACCAGACCAGCAGCAAGAGAAGTTTGCTCCGAAGCTCGATTATGAAAAAGTAGCCACTGTACAGGCAGCCTGACATCTCCTCCAGCTGCAAGAGCTTCTTGTAATTTCTGTAAGGACAGAGGGATGAAAATCCTCCCTTCTTCTGCAAGGGACAGGGGAAGTGGCTCTACCTGGGCTAGAATTAGTGCTGGGGCATCTTTCCATCAGAGGGGCCAGAAGCGCTGCCAGGTTTCCCTAACAGAGGGGCAAGAGGACAACGGGAGCATCCCCGGGGCAAGGGTAAAAAGGAGAAAAAGATGAGCTTTGCTCTAGAAGGTTGCAAACCACCATTTTCTGTGGCAGGTTGGCTGGGAAGCCTCTGAAGCCATTATCTGTAGGCGCGTTTAATGACAAGGCTCTACAGGCAGCTGTTATTAAAGCTTGCCCACTGGTTCCAGGGCAGCTTCCCCCCTGTGCATTGAGCCTCTCAGGCATTTTGCCCAGCCCGAGGACAGCTGCCAGTGCCAGGGTTCGACACAGAAAACTACGTGTGAAGACGAGCAGACAAAAGCGTGCGGGCGAGGTGAGAAGCAGCCCAAGCAGGGGGGCGAGCGCAGCAGGAAGAAAGGCCACGAACTGTTCTCAGAATAAAAACCCACCGCAGTGGAGCTAAAAGCTCAGCCTGGGACTGACAGCAGCTGGTGCCACTGCCAAGCATCGCCCAGGGGGGAGCCATGACATCAGGAGATTCCTTCTCAGTTCACAAGGAAACAAGTTTCATTTTGGGAAGCACCGACTGCTACAAATGAGGGCTCTTGCTGTACATCTCATCTCAGCCACGCAGGATCCCAAAGACTTTGCCATCATTATTCCCTTGGAGTCAAGTTTTCCAAAGCCAGGCCTGAGGACAGGCACAGGGAACTCTTGTATTCCCCAGTTTTTCAGAGTTATAAGAAGAGGTGCTGCTTGAGGCACGAGAAGCCAAGTCAAATGCAGCTTCAAAGGCCTCCTGCGGAACCCCAACGTAAGAGCGAGGACACGTCGCTGCTGCTCCCCCTCTTCTGTGCCCCAGAGCACTGTCCTGGGGCCTTGGGATCAGACTGGTCCCCAGCCCCAGACCTCTGCCATCAGCAGCACCCCCAGACCCGGCCGGGGCTCTCACCTCTGTAGTGCTCCATCCTGGTGTGATGGGTGATGCCCTGCGACCGAAAGCTGAGGCTCAGGATGTAGCGGGGGTCAGAACTGTCTCGGACCAGAAAGGACCCATCCGGCTTCCCCTTCAGCTTCATCTCCGCATCCTCCCAGTTCATCGGTCCCCAGTACCACCCGCACTAGGAAAAGAGACAGCCAGCACGTCAGCAGATTGCTAGCAAGAAAGATTTTTATCAGCAACCGAACACAATACCATTTGCTCTTGTTAATTCCCTTTAAACACCAAAATGGAAGTGCCGGGTTGTGCCCAGGCAGGACGGATGGATGGTTGGAACTCGTGGCTCCTGGATGAGGGCATCATCACAACCCGTAACACCCAGAATGGATGAGACTATGACACCCCTTCCATGCATAAACAAATGCTTTTTTAGACTCAGAGACCTCACCAGGAGAAAGACAGGAGGGTTTTGGGGTTTTTTTTCAGACCTATCCTGACATTACGCTCCCAGCTCTGCCAAAGGGATGACCAGTCCCCAAAACCAGAGCTTAGACCCTCCGTCTCTCCCTTCTGGCTGGTGGCACCCCCCGCATCGGCGTTACCTTCTCCAGCTCTCTCAAACTGGCTGCGAAGCTGCTGGAGTCGGGGCGGTAGAGCGGGCACTGGAGGTGGGGGGGGGGCTGGCCGGGCATCGCCTCCATCGGCCTCAGCGGGACAATCCGCGGGAAAGCGTCTGCAGAGGGAGAGAGACAGAGCCCAAGGCCACGGTCACCCGCGGGGAGCTCAGCCCAAAGATGAGCGTTCCCCCCAACACCCCGTCCCCCTCGCACGGCTCTAGAGGTCAGGGCAGGAGGGGCAGAGCTGCAGCGGGGAGGAGGAAGGTGGGTGGGAGGACAACGTCCTTGTGAAGGACACAGCGGGAGCCACTGCCCGGCGCTTCCACGGCGACTAGCTCAGCACCTTCACCTGCTCTTTCCTTATGCTGGCTCGGAGGGAAGGCAGGGAAGTGCCAGGTGGCACAGACTGGAAGGAATGAACACACAGCCTGAAAAAGGGGCAGTTAAAGCCCTCTGGGTCCTGAAGGAAACCAAAAGCAAAAGGGTAAACGCGCAGGAAAACTCCTCGGGTGCTGTTTGGCTGGCTCTGAAAACCGGGGCTCCTGCGCTGAACCCTGCTCCCACCGCTCCCTCCTGACACTCACTCACCCGTTACCTGACACTGCACTAATCGGGGCGGGGGGGGGGCTGCGCTTCCGAGAGGAGCCAGAGAAAACGGGAGACCTCGAACTGAGGATAAAGCTGATGCAATCACCAGCTTCAGCAAAACTACAGCGGGCAACAAGAGCCTCGGCACAACAGCGCCCGAGCGCTCGGCAGCGTAGGACCACACGTCCCCGAGCGGGCAGCACAGGCAGCACCGCTGCTGTTAAAATCCAAGCGTAGCCTTAAAGTTTACCAAAAAAAGACAAAAAAAAAACCCAAAACAACCAAACCCCGAAGTCCAGATCCCTGAAGGGAAAGCCAGAGCCTTGCTGCTAAAGCTAAGCTGACCTGGGGCATGGGGCGGAGGAGGCGGAGGCAGAGGGAAAGACTGCAGGGAGGAGCCCATTGGACCCACTAGGACAGATGTAGGCAGCGTCCCACTGATATCATCTAGGAGAGAACAGAAGCAAGAGAGGTTCAGAAAACAGGAAAGCGAGCGAGCTCTGTGCCGGCCAGCGCCTGACAAAGAGCAAACGGGCACTCGGCGCTGCCTGGAGAAGCGGAGATGGAGCTCCCGAGCCCCGGGGTCTGCTGCCACTCGGTGCCAGCCCGGAGCTGGGCGCACACACGGGCACGCTCACACGCACTCCCAGAGCGAGGGAGCCGGTCTTCTAGCCCAGCCAGCTCCTCACATGCAGCTTGAGGCACCAGACAGGCATTTACAGGAGATTTCACACACCCGGCAGATGGGATGTGCTAAGGTGCTGCTCACTAAGGCTGACTTTACCCATCCTAAGCTGCTCCTGCTCAGAGGAACCTCCTCCTCGGAGGATGTAGAGCAGCAAAGCCAGGCTCCTGGTGCAGCAGCCTCCCAGAGAGCCTCCGCTTCCACCGACTAGAGAGCACAGACAGGAACCAGCCTTGCTGACAGGAAGGGGGAGAAGATTCCAAAAGCAGCAGAAATGCTACAAAACCAGCACGTTACCTCCCACCTCACGCTGCTCCAGCACCACCCTCCCCTCCTGGCTAACGGAAACTCTGAAGCTTTCAGCAAACACCAAAAGTCCTCTGCCAGGGAAGGGTGAGCTGGCGTGTTAGGGGGTCAGATGAGCAGGCAGCGAGCCTGCTGCTGGGGACCCTCAGGATGCTCCTCCACTGTCCCTGCAAGGACAGACGGGCGGTTCCTACGCTCCCGTGGGGACACACGGCCAAGGACGCTCTCCAGGACGGTACCTAGCAGGCTGAGGCTTCTTCGCGGTGGAGGTGGTGGAGTCGGCGGGTGAGGGGAGGTCAGTCCTCGCTGAGAGATGTCCACGTCCACCAGTGACACTGTTTCACCTGAAGGTTGGTGGAGCAAGACTGTTAGTACAGCACCTTCCCCGGGGCACACAGAGGCCGAGGGCAGGGAGGCGCAGGGAGAGGGGAAGGGGCAGTAACCTCGGCGGGGTTTGGAAGACCATCTCAGGAGCTGTTTGCAAAGAGGTTTCCCTGCTGCAACCGCTTTGGAGACACTGATCAGCTCCGCTACCGCAGCTCCAAGGCCAGGCAGAAGGGAAGGACAGGGGTACACATGCCTGAACCCCGAGTCCTGCACCAGGAGGATGTGATGGGGAAGGCACCATGGGACCTTTTCAGCACTGAGCTCGTGTATCAGGCAGAGCTCACCAACGGTGCAAGCGCTGGCACTCGGGAAATGGTTTCAGAGGGTAACGTTTGGGAAATGGTTTCAGGGATCTGCGTGGCACCCGCTGGCACAGGACTCTGAGATAACACTCCCACTGATGCCAGGTCGAGTCTGCTTACAAATGCCTTTGATGATCAAACAGAAACACCTTTTACCCCAAAGGCCATGAGGGTACGAGCTCTTCAAAATTAGTAAAGGGGAGCTGGGACAGGCTTTTACATTAAATAACTGGAATTCAGTGAAAACTAAAGTCTTTGGAGCCTTGGAGAAAACAGTGACACTAACTAAGATGTCCAACTTAACCAGAAAAGCTTAACATTAGTCTAAAATCATGGCAGGGAAATGAAGCCATCAAATCTGGGTCAAAGCATCAGCCTCAGGACTGGACTAACACCAAGCCAAAAGGAAAACACCCTAATCCTGAAGAGAGACCCCAAGTGGTGCTACCACAGCCAAAGCATGTTTTTAAAAAAAAAAAAAATCAAGTCTAACCAGGTTCTGATGAACCACCAACACCAAATCATCTCCAACACCCCAACCATGGTCTCAAGGGCAAGGAGATCTGGCTGCCTTTGATTTCAATTCCTGTGGGCAGAGAACTCCTCTTCTGCTCCAGATACCGGACACAGCGTCACCCACCTCTCGGTAAGTACCTGGCACCGTGTTTACCCTGTGTTACATGGGACAATATTGACTCAACTTCCTTCTGCTTTTAAAAGTCCTGTCTATTAATAAGCCACGTTAAGAGGAGTATTTAGGGTTGGTTATTATCCAAGGTACCTTCTCCCTGAGGGACTTGTGGGTGTGAGCGCACACGCGTGCACACAGCCACTCTTTCATTTCCACACCATAAAAATAAAAGTGGCTGGGCTGCACTCATCTTGCCCAAACAAAACCAAAAGGCAACCAAAGCGTGGTTGCAGCAAGTCCACTTCCAAACCCTTCCCGAAGTGGCAGGAGCTGCGATGGCAGGCTGCGGTGGGCTTCTGGAGCCAGCACTTGGGAGAGGCACCCGAGCAGAGGTCGGGAAAGGCAAGGACAGCTTCCCAAACACTAACCCGAAAGCAAAGCACCAAGAAACTCATGCAAGTTGGGCCAGACATTTCGGTTCTGTCCCACTTTGGTGGTCCTGGTCTCAGAAAATCCCCTGTACAGCAGCCATTAAAAAAACCGAGACCTCAGCAGCATGAAGACTGGAGAAAGTCAACAAACCAGAGCAATTAAAATCTACTTTAGGGATGCTTCCACAGTCTTCTGCAAAGGAAAAGCTCCTGCAAGCACATCACCACTATTCCACCAACTGGCAAAAAAGGACATGAGGAATTTTAAAAATAGTTAATAGCATAAACTAACAATTGATCACATCAACTTCCCAAGTATAGAGCAAAAACTTGTCAACGCCAGCTTCTCCTCTGTCGTTTCTTTTGAGGAAAAGCAGCATCCACTTACCCCCATCACCAGCACGCAGAATTACTGGTTTTATACCCGCGACTTCCCCTAGCAACAGCTGACAAAGCAGCAGAAGCAGCTTTTGCTTTCACCAGCCTCGATTTGCCAACTAAACACGCACGACGCAGAGGAAGGCGGCGGCATCGCGCGAGGAACATGTCCTCGGCACGCCGCCCCGCTGCCAGGACCCCGGCTGGAGGGAGGGGGGAACAAAGAGAACAAGCCCCACCTGAGCTGAACCAACCTCCACACGGCTCCGCTTCTGCACGAGCTGAGTGAGTGACGAGTTCCAGGCAAGTCAAACGGCTGCTTTGCCTCGGAGGTCACTTCTCTGAGGTTTAAAGCGGTTCTCGGTGAGGCTTCACCACCGCTCTCCGAAGAGGCCTTCGCCCCGCTCGGGAGCACAAACCACACCTTCTGCTACCGAACACCCGCAGCACGAGGAGGCTCCGGGCTCAACTCACCACCTGTTCCTTAGGCAGCTCTCCCTACGCAATCACATTTTGATTCCTTTCTTCTGCAACAAGACCCTCAACGTGAATTTTATTTTGAATCTGACCTCCATAACAAGGCACATGAAACCCCACACAGCTGAAAAATAACCCTCACTTGCGACCTTGGCTTCCTACTCACATGTGTCTTGAGACAGGATTCTCCCAAGGAAGCCCCAAGCCCCAGTCTAGGGCTGTTGTGACCACGGGCCCACACCACAAGAGGCACATGACCATGACTAGGAGCTTTTCTACAGCTTTCAGTCGTCAGCAGAGCAGGACTTCCCCCCCTCTACCATTTATAAACCGGCCAACTTCCCCCCCCGCCAGCAGAAAGGGGAAGGTCAGAAACCAGCAGGATGCAGGGGAGAGGCGAGGAAACATGCAGAAGAAGGTAGCGCTCCACAAAAAAGGTTTCAGTTCCCACAGCTGTCACGCAGCAGGGCCGCTGAGGACGGTGGATGGTCCAGGTGGGAAGCAGGGCTTGGTCCCAGCCCCTCTCAAACCACAGGAGGGGAGCACCAAACCGCACTCGCTCCACAGGGGTTTTTCCAAACCACTCGGACGCAAACAGCCCTGCGCGGGGGAAGGAGCTTCGCCTCCAAGAGCACAACTCAAAACTTGCATTTCAACAGGAGGAATTGCAAAACGCTGACGTGCAACAGCCACGTTCTTTACAGCTCCTCTTGTTCGGGGTTTGAGGCCAAGCAGGACAGAGGGACCCCTCACAGAGATCCCAGTTTGCACTGGGAAGCAACGTTCAGCGTCTACCGTTAAGCGCACGCTGCTCTTCTCGTGGCAAAATGAAAACCCATACTGCAAATCTTCCGAATCCTTACCTGTGAAGAGGGGGCTGAACACAACCGGGGAAAAGGCACTTTGAGTTCTCGTCAGTCTGTGTTTCCTATCGGAAATAAGAAAAACACCGTTAGTAGAGGTGAGGAGACTCGGCGCATCCCACCAGAAGAAAACATCGTTTGACCTTCTCAGACCAGGAGAACCTTCACCGACCTTTACAGAAGCTCGAGACAGCTCAATCCTGCGTTTATTCAACTCCTAGAGCAGTGCTTTGGCCTAAGTAGGGCACTCAACCAGTAAAGCTAGGTCTCCGTCCTGCTACGAAGCAAATCTCTAACTAGGTAATTAATAAAGTCTTTGGAAAGAAAAACCCCAAGCAAGTATGGTAAGTGGAGCCAAGAAGCTGTTTCACAACAGACATCAGGCTACTCCTCTGGATCGGGTATTGCCAAACGCCTTCGACAAACAGGTTGGGTCCAACTCGGGGCTGTGCCCCAGCGAGCTCATCGAATGCCCTCGCGCCTCGTTTGGAGGGTTGCAGAACCCGGAGCCATCGAGATGCACGGAAACAGCTAAAAACTGACGAGGGCCCAGGAGTACCAGCAATTCCTGTGAAGCTTCATTTCCAAACCAGCAGTTTTATACCGACGCTGGAGCCAGGCCTGTGCCCTCCCCACACAAACCCACTCCTTCCAGCACCTTCCCTGCGGCCACGCCAAAGGACTTTCTCCAGATCCAGGCAGAGAAAACGCTGGTAAACTGAGGCACAGAGTATGGCACCCCCAGGACTTGAAACCACGGTTGAGTTGAGCGGAGAAACACATCCCTGGTGCCAGAAACTCGCTCCCGACGGAGAAGAGAGAGCAAGAACAAAGCTGAGCACAAGCTCAGCTCTCTGTGCCGCAGCTTCAACACCGGCCTGTCCGGCACCCACAGCACGTCGTGTAACACCCAGCCCGGCACGGGAGAGACCGTATCAGCCCGAGGGTCTGCACCGGGTCCGACCAGGTTACTCCAAGTTAAACAGCACAACTTCACTGTGCTGGCCAGAGAAACTGGTCCCGTTGCACCCAGACAAGCGGCCGCACCACCAGGATCTAGAGGAGCTCAGAGATCAGCTCTACTCACACCCAAAGAGCACCCGCTGCCACTGGGCTGCCACTGCTCCTCCTGGACGTCTTCCTCACCCTCCAACCTCCTCCCAGCCAGCGGCTGACCCTCAAACCTTAAGCCCACCTCGTGCTTCAGACCCTGCGCTCCTCACGGCACAGACCAAACGCGGCTCTCGGTTGGGTCACTGGGCCACACGGCTGTGAACAAACAGTACTAGAAGCCTGCAAATAAAAATACGAAGAACACCCATCATCCTGATATACAGAACCCCATTAAAATGTTCGGAAGTGTTTTCATTTTAAACCTCTCGCACCTATTTGAGGGTTGGATTTTTTTTTTTTCCTCCTCCCCCAAAGGAGAACAATTCACCAGTCGTCAGCCACACACGCACACACAAAATTACACTTCTGGATTAATATCAACTGATCTTATAATATAGTAACAGCTCTGCTCCCACCCACTAAGCCAGACAGAAAGGAGCATTGTTGGCATTTTGCTGTTACCAAAACAACTACATTTTATGCCAACATTTTACAGCATCGATTTCTAAGATTTCTCATTTCTAATAAGCTCACATCCGGAGCAGGGCGAGAGCAAGAAACGATTCACATGGACCAAATCCTTCACTTCCCTGCTCAGTCTCCACCAAAACAACACTCTTCCATACTTCCTCCTCTTGCCCTCAGAGTTCCGTCACATCCAAACGATGCTGAAACCCAGAGAGAAGTTGTGTCCAGTACTTGAACGCTGCTGCATCGGATCAGCACAGCCCTGCAGAGCTGGGGAAAGGCAGAGGTGGACACTGTCGTTCAGGAGCACCCGTGGACAGATTCCGCACAGATTCGTGCCCAGAGAACTGCGAAACCCCCTCGAGTTCCAGCAAACCAAGATTTTTTAGGACCAGTTACCCACCAATTCTGCAACTGCTGTGGCTGCTGCCTTCACTCACCCCAAGGCACCATCCTGGTAACTCCAAGGCAAGTCTTACCTGGCCACGTGCTATTTTATGTATGTAATGACACAGAGACACGTTAAAAACATGTCACCAACACACCTAACACGGGTACCAGCCTGTCCGGTGATCTGCAGCTCGGGTACAGCTGCACCACCCATCCGCAGAGCCCAACCCTGTCCTCCCTTCCCCTCCCATCACCTCTACAGTCCAAATTGCTCCCCCCAAAAAAAGCAGTTTCACTGATACAGCCTTTAAATATCAACAGCCAGTCCCTGGGCGAGAAGCCACACGTTGATCTCTCTACATTTAGGGCTTTAGTCTCCTGCAGCTCAGCAGAGCCCAGCTACAGATTTTAGATAATGGTGCTGTTTTCCTTCCTAACTGCTGCTGCAGGCGGGAGGCAAAGCTGCACCCTGCTGCCTCCAGGACCGGCAGCACGAGGGGAAGCTTGGGCAGCAACTCCAAACACCAGGAATTCTGCTGCTTGCGATGTTTACGAGAAGAGCCAGACTAGATAACGCTCACCATGGACCAAGGGAGCACCCTTCACCACCGGCCCGCAGGGAGACTTACGAGTCAGGAGTGAAAGGTGGACAGCAAAAAGAGGCCTGAATTAACCCAAAAGCTGCTCTGAGCCCACCTCATCAGCCACGAGCGACTGCAGCAGCGACTCACGGTGAACGCCAGATCCACCCTGTACTAACGGGAGCCACACGTTGGGAGGCAACAGCCTCCAGCTCTTCGCAGAGCCAAGGAAAGGTCATCCTCATCCTCCCAGTCAGCCAACAAGGACCGGCGCAAAGTAGCAGAGAGCGTTCATTAGCGGGGCATTAAATCTAGCAAAGACCACAGCACAAAACCGAGTCACTGCACATCTCCAAACTGAGGGCCCAGAGGAACAGAAAAACAGCATTTGCTGAGGCCAGACATTCACTCCTCGGCAAACTCAGCTTAGCTAAACCACGCCTAACTTGCTGCTGAGAGTCTGGGCATCCCAGGGGTTTGGGATACACTCAGTGCACTTGTCCTGGCTGAGGAGAGCGGGGCCAGACCTCCGGGGCCAGCCGGGACCACCCCATCGACACGCAGCCCCCCAGCAGGAGATGCTGGCACCAGGCACACCCGCATCCCACCAGGGCGGGAGCTGAGCTCCCCAGGAGCAAAAAGCATCGTTCCAACAATCCGACCCTCATCAGCAGAAAGGGATTCCTGGAACTGGAAGCAGCAAAGTTGTCCCTGAACCACAAGAGTTGCTGCATCAGGCACCTTGAAGTAACCTTTGTTAAAACATCGCCTAATTAGTGCGTCGGAGTTGCACGACGCCAGAGCACGAGGAGTGACCACGAAATTCCCTGAGCAGAGGGAAGACCCGGGAACTTGGGTTACGGGGAAGCAACTCAGGAAGCGCTTGGCTGCTCCCAACATGCTAAGACTCAACTGCCAACTCGCCGCCTAAACCCCGGCGCTGGGAGGTCCCGAGGACTCTTCGCTCTCCTCAAGTGCAAGGATGGAATAAACCACAAGCCCATTAGCAAAACATTATGCCATTACGAGCAACTGGGCAACTGTTTGAGGCCCATTTAGTCATTTGTGGGGAATGAAGCTGTTGTATAAAACAGCTTCACCATCCCACATACAAAAGCGAAGCTCCTCACGGGCGCACGAGCTCTAGGGAGGACTCAGACATCGGAGCAGAGGCTGCTCCATCTCAGAAGCCACGTTCTGCTTCGGAAAGGTCATTTTGGCCCCTGCTACAGTCTTGTTGCCTTTTGAACTGCCAAAGTGCCCAGTCACCACAAACCACCCCTGACCCGGGGTCAGCATCTTCAGAGCAAGCCTGGAGAGTTTCCTGCTCACCCATCAACAGGTTTTCAGCTGCACTGAGGAGGCAACTCACCCCGAAAGCCTCACACAAGGTTAATGAACCCCGCAGGGAAGGGACTGTGCTGTAATACTCCCTTTAATTATTTAACTCTCCTCCAGGGCTGG